GATAACTAGAACGGAGAACGTAACAAATCCCATCAATAGCAAATCGTGCAGCTGGCTTGAAGCCCAATTGGCTGACCAGCATCAGCTGAGCTCAGTAGCCGCCAGCAGGTGGATACACGCAACTGCAACTGCATATCTGCATCTCTGCGTTATTTCTATAAAATATTCATTAACCTGATATTCATTAAAATGATGCCGCCTCGTTAGTTTTAATGGCGCCAACGATACTTGCAGCCAGTGTCGTCATCGTAGCCATGTTATAATCTTTAGGAGCATAGCAGGGCCCGCTGCTATGTAGGGCAGCAGCAGTAGGGTGAGTGTAGGAAGCCAGAGTGTACTGTTCGGCTATCCTGCGCTGTCAGCTGCACCCTCTCTCTCCTCTCTCTCTCTCTATATATATGCATATATGCTTAGAATGCATACATATGCACATAGTTCGTTTTTCGTGCATCCTCCCAACGGTCTCTTTATTTGGTTTGATTTTCATTTATGCTACGGCTCCTGAATATTCGAGCGAAGCTGTCAAGTTGCCTTTGCAACGACCAATTCCCAGAACTTTATTCAAATTGCCGTGCATTGTCGTGTGATCTGCCATTTGTTTGCGCAGCGGCATCCTTCATTTCATAGCTAAAAATGCAACTGCAGTTCTCTTTTTCCCATCTACAGGAGCATATTCTTTGTTCTGCAATAAACAAAATTATTTTCATTATCTGCCAACTGACTCTTGAATAAAGTGGTATATCGAGCCCAGCCCTTTCTGTGCCATTGTTCCGCAAAATGAAAAAGGTACTCGCACACATATGCTCTTTGCATTGTCCTTTCATTTCTCCATATTAAGTCAATTTTTTTTAATAATCTCAGCATGTTCTCTCCCTGGCCGCATTGTAGGCGACCAATTTTTGTCCTCTACCATCAAAGAACGGACATTGCACAAAACTAATATGAAGGAGCAGAGCCCATAAATAAATTCCCAAAATGCAATTAATATTTGCTTTCTGCTTTTAATCAAATTTTTACAATTGCACTCATACTCATATATGCTTAAATCTCTGTGCGTGTGTGTCGTATGCATAAGGACAAAATACATAAGTTTTTGCTTTAATTACACATCTGCATAACCGTAAGCTTAGTCCGTTCCTTTGAGTTCTTAATGCTAAATTTTTGTCAATATCTCAGCCATACTTCCGTGAGCTTCTAACAAAAATCAATTTATGGCAAAGAACAGAACGAAATATTGCCTTACATCGCTTAGAAAACGTGCGATTATCAGGCCACGGAAATTATCAACGTTACCAATATGCATATTGAAAAGTTTTCCTGCCATTCTTAGATGTGATGCATTTTGACACTATGATCAAAGCTGCTGTTGTTTATTTATTTTTAATTTGTTTTTGAATAGGACACCCAAATTGTGCGCCTTGAACGCCAACAACCAAATATCTATAAAATACAACAACAACTTAACGACTTTGTTGTGCTTTGGCTTCTGTGTGTTGACTTGTGTCGAAAGGTGTGACAATATTTAAAATGGCTTGTTAATTGAATTTAACACGTAAGTGTGTATCAGAAATTCTGGGTGTGTGCGTGCGTGTGTGTGTGAGAATAATTTTTATATTTTATATCTAAACCTTAAGACATCATCAAACATTCAACCAATATGAGCGACTTTTAAAATGGGGCAGCTATAGAAATTGCAATTAGCGGTGGCGAAATTGGGCGTGGCGTAAAATCATAGCCCATCAACTATGAATATACATATATAGATATTTTACATTTTTTGGTTAACAGAGAGCCTGGCTGCAGCTTTTGGCAGGGAAATGTTGTATTGAAGGGAATTTTTGCAATAACATTTTCCTAGGCTCTTTCCCCGGCAGGTTTGTAGCATTGAAAGCTTGAAAGCTTAGCCGAGACAGCACAGTAACTTGAAAGTCAGAGTCACATTTGCGTTGCAGCTGGCGCCATCTGTTGGCTAACAGATGGACGCAGTAATTTGCTATAAAAAGTTTAAGAAATCCCTGCCAAATCAAGCAGTGCACTGCTTTTCGGATGCGTCCCTAAACGTATGCAAGGCTGTTTGACTGCAACGATGTGGGTAGTGTATTCACTAACCCATGCTTGTGTGTGTTGTGTGTTTGTGCATCTGCTAAGTCGCTGCTGGTGAGTCCCGGCCCACGCGTCGAATGAGTACCATGGCCAAGCATTCAGTTGATACGATTGCAACTATTTTAATCGCAGGCAGACACTTCACACTAGTGGCCCATTGAATGATTGAGGCATGAATAATACGCTTTACCGCATACCGCAAACCGCATCGCCCCACTGCAAACGCTTGCGCTCAACGTTGATAAGATGCGCGGTATCGAGGTATTGCGGCCACCTTCAACTGTCCACTTTTGCCAGCGCGTCCGCATGGGCGCGTGGAGTGGAAACGGAAACGGTTGGTATTTTGGAACGCCTCGCTGACTGATTATGGGGGCAATACACGCCACTTGACCAAGTGTAGCGAATTCGATAGCAGCATTTATTGCTCAAACTGTTCAGTTATCGCGCCTCACTTAATTGCGACCGGAACCATCTTCATAATGTGCCTGTTTAACCGGAAAATCACAATTGAATACTCCAATACAGATATCGATATTTTCAAGCCCCAAAATCCAATACACTCCACAGAGCAAATAATTAAAGGGCGTCAAAAGAACAAACAAAAAATCACATTGCAATCGTATTGAGTCAGCAAAAGCTCTTCACTGGACACTTGACCCCAACTCAAAATCTTTTGGCTTTTTTATTACTGTTCAATTTTCTAGCTAAAACTAGGTTCACCAGCCGCATACCCTGCCAGAGGGTAGCTAAGTCCATCTGTTTCTTTGCTAATAGTTATTGAAAGTGGCTGTTCTGCTGGGAACAGATCCGCCGGATCGGCCCAATATATCATAAAGCTGCCTTTCGAATAATTGTAATTGTTTTTTTTTTTAATATCTCCACCATACTACTAACATAGGATAAATATCTGATTCATAGTTTATTACCTTATCCTTTTTTGCAAGTGTCTAGTTATCTTTACCTGCAAAGGCGTATCAAATAGGATTATGCTCGGGATTCAATTTAAAAAAAAGGGAAAGTAGTGAAAGTAGGTACGCAGATGAGTTAATACCCTTGCAGACATTTGCCTCACGGCTTTGCGGATATGTGACAATAGAGATGTCTCGATGTTGATAGGATTTTGCTTATACGGGCGCCTATAAATGCCGAGTCTAATATCTTGATACCTTGTCAAGGTATCTTGAGAAACAAAATAAAAATAGCTATATGATATAGTTGTCCAGTTGGGACATATGTACTGCCTGCAACAGAATGACGGACGCAGGGCAAGTTGCAAGAGGATAGCTTTAAAACTGAGAGACTAATTCGCATAGAAACAGAAAGGCGGGCAGACGGACAGACAGACGGACAGACAGACTGAAGGGTATGGCTATATCAACTCGGCTGTTTACGCTGATCACGAATATATATGCTTTATGGGGTCGGAGATGTGTCCTTCTATGCGTTAGACACGTCATGAACAAATTTTAATACCCTACACAAAAAAGGATACAAAAAAACGATATTTGATTCTAAATTTATTGCACACGAAAAATATTCCACATAATAGTTGCGAGCTAACATTTATTAAATATTTTTTTTTTTATTGGGATATTTTTTAACATTTTGGCATATTTTTATTAGACCAGCAATTTAAGCTAATGTGAATCATTTTGGATTTGTTTTACATTTAACAATTGCGATGTGGGGTAACAGCATAGTCTTACAACTAGCAAGCATATTGTATAATTTATTTTATTTTTTTGAATTCTTGTGATAGATAAATTCATCTTGAAAACAGCGATTTTAAAGATCCGATTTGTATTCGAAAGATCTATTTTGTACGCTTTTCATAGGCCGTTGTCTGGCCAGTTGACTTGGGAGAGCAGCAAGTCTCTAGATGCCTGCTCATTTATGATGTTGCCTACCAAAGGGACATCCAGATCCTTAGATATCTCCGGGGTGTCTAGCTAAAATTGATCTGTACCCAAAACTGGCATCCACGAAAGAAGAACTTAAGCTATTTTTACTATGCTGCTGGTTCGCTCTTAAGCTAAGCTACTTTTGACAATTATTTTAATGATATATGCAATAGGTTCTTAACTATTTATCATGCAGACAAACTGCATGTCAAGTTACATGTCATTTAGTCAAGAGAAATGTCGCTCTCGGTCTGCTCAACTGCTTGATACTATTTTTTTTCTTATTGAAATTTAATTAAAGTTCGAGTATCATTTTGGATTTGGGCTTAAATAGTTTTGACGGCATTAAATAGTTTTTTTATCTATTTATTTTAGTCATAAGAAGGGTCTGCTCAACGGCTTGATACCCTTCTGTTATTGAAATTCAATTAAAATTGCAGCTTGATTTGTCTTTGTCTGTACTCAGTTTATTCGCATCAGATGGTTTCAGATAGTCATTTTCGAGTTTAGCATCCAATTTGATTTCGTTTTCCCATGCGTATGTACGTACATGTATTAGATATATATGTATGTTTATAAGTACAAGAGGGTGCATGTACATATTGGCATATGTAAGTTTAGCTTGATTTGTAGACTTCACATTATTTAGATTGGCTTTAACGATTTTCGTAACAGAGTTTCAGTGGCATAAATTGATTTATAAATACTTGTATAATTTACAAAGTTTGTTTCTCACTAAGAACTATTAAAAAAAAAGTTAATTACTTAAAATAAATCACAGTGTATTTAAGCATTTTTCATTTGTATTAAGTTTTCGTTTTGTATTGATTTCATTTTGTTTGTTTTTTTTTTTGTGTTTTTTGTGCTTGTTTTTCGTTTGTGTTTGTTTCATATATAGATGACTAAATATGTTGTATAAATAAATTGCAATAAATAAGAATAAGAGAGAAAACAATTTTTAAATAAATAAATAAATTACTCTGAATTACCACGAATATTAAATTAAGACTTAGAAATTAACTGGGAATGGTCATGTGTAACTTTGAGCAATAAATAAATACTTGAGTGTGCGTGTGTGCTCGTATGTGTGTGTGTGTGTGTGATCATAATTACCCGCTCAACGGAAGTAGTAATGATTATAATACGATATAATACTAAATAGCTCTTGCATAAATGGCAAATAAATAAATAAATAATTAATACATATGACAAGAGCATGGTAGAGAGGTGGGTTTGTGGGAAGGGGTTTGGTTTGGTGGTAGAGGGGTTTCTCATAAAATTCTAAAATGGCATTCGACAAATTCTTCGATTCGTTTTGATTTTGTTTGTTGTTTGCTGTTTGTTGTTGACTCTTTTTTGGCTAGGCGCGCAACCGCAACTGCAGCTAGGAACTGTGCACAGCATTGGGCGCTAATACTGGGAGGCTTCGTACTTCGAGGAGGCGTCTTTGGGCAGGGCCGGAGGCAGTGGCAGTGGCAGTGACAGCGGCCTAACACTCGGCTGAGTTGATGCAGCCGCTGTCATTGGGCGCCGCCGCCACCACGGACGCTAGGCCGGCGCTCTCGGAGCTCTCAAGACTGAACATCTGGCGTGAGTTGGCGACAGAGGAGGAGGCAGAGGCAGAAGCGGAACTGGAACTGGCGGAGCCGGCGTGTTGTCTGCGCTCCATGCTGCCCCTGTGATGCTTGCGCAGCGCAAGGCGCAGCGATTTCCACATATTGTCCAGGAACTGATAGTAGAGCTGCTTGGTGAACTTGAGATCGCGCGTGTCGGCCTCCTTGCTGCCATCGGCGGGCGTGTAGAACTTGAGGCGCTCGAGCATGGCCGCCTTGCTAATATGGCTGAGCTTGGCGACATTGCTGTACGGATAGGAGGCGTTGATGGTCGTCTCAATCTCGCAGAGCACGCTGCGTGCGCTCACGAGCAGCTTGTGCAGCTCCTCGGTGGTCTCGCCCAGTGGCAGCTGGTGATCCTTGTGGTACTTGTACTGCGCCTTGCCCAAATACGCGAAGCTGCCCACGAATGTCTGAATGTGGCGGTACCAGGTCTTCAGCTTCGCCTGTAATTGGACAGATCGAAAAGGGGGGAGGGGTTAGTCAATCAGTTGCTCTTCAAAAAAGGGCAAATGCAAATGCCGTTCAGCGACTCGAGTCGAGTCGAGTCGCGGCGAGGCGGAAACTGGTATAAGCCGCCCTGGGCGGAGCAGGTCCGCCGCTCGAACAAACGAGCATCGCGACTCGCTCATTGTCAGCATAAAAAGCTGGCACATCGAACGCTTCCACATCGAGCACACTTACCACATCTGTGGGCCGCGTCATGTTTGGCAGGAACTTGTACTCGCGCTGCCAGGCCTGAATGTCGCCGTAGTCCAGATTCGCGTCTTGCCGGATGTTCCAGTACTCGATCCGCGTATTGTTGCGCAGCGCAATCAGATGCTGCAAAACAAATGAGAGCACATTTAAGCAACTGCAGGCTAATCTTCACTAGCTCTATACACAGTCATTACTCGACTGTATTACTTGGAATCGATACCACATGCATTCACATACCCACACACCCAAATACCCACACACACTCACACACACACACACACACACACGGCTGATTAGCTACATCAGTTTGATTCATTCGCTTAACCCCAGACAGAGGCTGACGATGATGTGGACAATTGCCTACCTTGCGCTTGGCTGCACTGGAGATATCCACTGCCCTGGGCTGGCTCTGGTCGGGCTGATAGACGCCACCGCAAGGGTTCACCCACTCGGGCGCCGCGCCCTGCTGCACTCGGGCGAAGAACCTCAGCGTATGGCTGCGTCGGTGTCTGATGCGCTGACGGCGCAGCTCCCGCATTGTGGCATAGACTGCCGCCTGTGCAATCTTCTCGTAGCTGCCGTCGGTTTCAGCCTCGATGCTGCTGCTGCCGCTGCTTCCGCTGCTGCTGCTGGCGTCGCTGTCGTAGCTGGCATCGCCGAAGCTACCCGCCAGTCCGTGAAACGGATTCACGTGCCAGGCAGGCAGCGAGTCGCTGGATTCGGAGCTGCTGCTGTCGCTCTCGCTGTCGCCGGAGTTGAGGCTGAGGCTGGCGCTGCCGCTAGCGCTGGCGCTGCCACTGGAGCTGTCCGCGTCGTCGTAGGCAAAGCCTTGCGCCAGCTGATCGTGCAAATGGCGGGCGTGTGTCAATGGCAGCAGCAGCGCAGCCAGAGCCATGATCAGCGTATAACTGTGAATGCGAAAGCTGCCGCTGCCGCTGCTGCTGCTTTTGCAACTGCAAATATGTTGTCTATTGTTGCTGCCGCTGCAGCTGCTGCTGCTGCTGGTGCTGCTGCTTTGGCTGTATATTGTCTCGCTTTGGCAATGCTTGGCTGCAAGGAAGAAGAATATATAAAAATTAATTTTTTTTTGCCTTTACGAAGCGTTCTCTGGCTGTCGCCTACCGTTGGACATGGGACTGGGTGCTAGACTAACACGACTGCACGTATCGCAATGGCAACACACGAAAAAACAACAACAACGAAACACAAATACGAATTACTAACTAAAACAATCAACTAACTAGTCAACAACTAGATGGCAATTGAGCGTCAAGAGACTCGTTCGATTTGGCGTGTGCGCTCCGCGGCATCTGCTCGGCAACTGGCCAGTCGCGCACTCGCACTCGGATTCACATTCACATTCACAATGCACTCGCACTGGCACTCGCACTCGCACTCGCAATCGCACTCAAGACGCGCTGCCACTCGCAATTGAGTGAGTGTGCGGCTGATAAGAGTCAGCCTCCAGCGGGCGAGTGAGAGCGCGCGAGTGAGATGCCGCATACGCTTGGCCCGTTCGCGCCTTTTGACCAAAATCAATTGAGCAGAAATTGTTTTGCTTCTGTTAATATTGTTGTTGTTGTTTTTTTTAGCTGTTTAAATTGTTAAACGCCGTTTGGCTTTGTCATCAGAGGCGGTCGCAGAAATTGTGCTTCGCTTGAATTTCACAAGAAATTTTCGGATTACTCATCGTGTGAGTATTTTGGGTTTTTTTACTGCTCACAAATTGAACGCTGCGGCGGCAGATATTGCCAGGGGCGGCAGCAGCCGCAGCAGCCGCAGCAGCCGCGGCAGCCGCAGCCGCAAATGCAGACGCTGACCAGACAGACAAGTCGCGAGCAACAGCGACGTCATCGTTGACCAATTGGCCGCGGGCAACGCGTCGTATGAATAATTCATACAAAACACAAATTCATTCAAAACCCGCGCTCGTGCCGGGCCAACAACTCGACAGCGACGGCAACGGCAACGGCAACGGCGACTGCGACGGCAACAACGGCAGCGGCAGCGGCAGCGACAGCAACAGCCACAAGCTCAAACGTTTGTTGTTGACGTAGGTCAGCGACATCGCATTCGATAACGAAAACAGCAGCAACAACACGGCCAATGCCGGTACCGCTGTCGCTGCTGCTGCTGTCGCTGCGAATGCTGCTGTTGCTGATCGGAGCGCACGTGCTGCTGGCCATGTCCATCGAGTCGGCGGTGGCTGATCACATTTGGCAGGTGTCCCCGCAGAAGTTTCTGGTCTAATTGTATAACCGAAAGGTGTGATTAATCGGGGTCTATAAACTTTATGATGGGAATGCATTTGGCGAATGCGATTGCAAGTGGGCCGAAGCTGCAATTGTGTCCAAGGCGCGGCATTGGCCCAGTTAACAAAGACTGCCGCATTGGCCACCATCATATGATGAGGGTTATGGTCCGCTCCGGTACCCGGTACCCGGCACACATTTATAGCCCTTATCGGAGAGCGTGAAGAAAACAAAAAAAATAGGCAGCAAACATGTGATTCGATTGATTCGATTGATTGATTGATTGAACGTTCGGATTAGCACAAGACGGATACAGGGAGATTGTAATTATTATTATTGCTTATTAATTGCCGCTGGATTCGAGTGTTCAGTTATGAGTTATGTGAACGTTTCTATACATATCTTATAATGAATTCAAGAATCTATCAAATTATTCAAAAGTCATCTTTAAGAATCATTTTGATGAAGTTGAGCAGCGGGCTCTGTATTGTGTGGCGGGGAAGTCCCGGACGCGCCTTTAAATAAACTATGCAAATACGGCTAGACAATTGTTCGATATATCATTGGCTTTAGCTGGACTCTGATGGCATTATCTTTGCACTGACCTCCATTTAAGGAGTATTATACTGATTTGATTTGATTTTTACTTTATGTGCTTTTAACGCTGAGAACATCGCTCTAAAAATGATTAAATTTCACCACATTTAGCTATACGATCATAAATTTTGTACAGCCATTAAAAATTGATATGCCTAGGCTCTTCAGTTGACTTTTTTACTTATTTGGCGATTGTTTTTCTTTCTTCATTTTTGGGTGGGGGCTTGGTCTTAAGGGGACCTAAGAACTTTGGACTTGACACTCGGCACTCGGCTGTGCGACAAACACTCGTACTTACTTGTATGGCACATTTTCGCAGTCACTTGGCACTGGGCTAGGTTAATGTTAATGTTAATGTTAATGTTTATGTCTATAATACTGACTGGGGCGTACTCATGCACTGGGGGGAAGTACACTCGCTTATTGTTTAATAATGCTAACGACTCTTCGGTTTCAGTTGAGGTTTGAGTTTTAGTTTGAGTCTCAGTTTGAGTTTAAGTTTGAGTTTTAGCTTTAGCTTTGTTTCGGTTCGGTTGGATTCGCGAGCCGACGATTATCATTGGCGTGCGTCTAAATAAGACTGATTCATGTTTTCAGCTGGGCACATTAATTTATATTTATACGAAATCGCCGTGCTGCGTGTGAGGCAGTCCCAGACGCAGACGCTGGCCGCGGCGTTGGCGTTGGCGCAGGCGTTGGCGCAGGCGTTTCTGTTCCATTTGCTTTCATTGATTGTCCGGAATGGTCTCCAATTGGCCGTCGCTGTAGCTGCTATCTGCTCATTGCGCGCTCGCCCGCTGTCTCAGTCGCAGTCGCGGTCGCGGCCGACGTCAGCGTTAACGTCAACGTCACAATCGCAGTCGCCGTCGACGTCAATTCCAACGTGCGAAAATATAGTAATCAGAATTCGCGCCATGCTTATAATTATTATTTGATTTGATTTTATGACTGCCGCTGCAAGCAGCATTAGGCCCCTCCCCCACCCCCTAGACCGACCACCCCACCTGCCGCTCACGCAACCCTCCAACACTCAACCACTGTCGCCCCCTCCCCAACCCATCTCGTAATTATTTATAGTATTTATCCATTCTTATACATTTCGTATTTACTTTTTATCAATTGCGTATGCCACCGAAGCCCTGCCCACCCCCAATCCCCCACTACCTTTTGCCACTACCCTTACCACATGCCGATGCGCATACGCTCACACATTACGCCAGGGGGAACTTTTCCAGCTTAATTGTGTCAGCGCCTACTCCTTTACCTCTGCCTTCTGCCTTATCAAAGACGCTCTGAAATTGCGTCAATGCGGCCACCGACTTCGATCGGCTCATTCTTAATATTAACTTCGTTGATGAATGCGATCCAGGTTTCATTATCATTATCTATGCTGTATTCAAATGACTCTTGAGTCATTCGCTATCATTGTGACGTCTTGTGGCTCCATCGCAGCAGCTGCAGTATTGCAAATCGATAGAAAGGGTATTTAAGTTTTCTGCAAATGCTAGTTCGTCAGCCTGTCCGTCCGTTCGTCTGTATGAATGCATCGAGTTCGGGTACTATATAGCCTAAAGGCTTCAAATTCTCTTATGGAAAACAACCCACGTATGATTTCAAATTTTGAATAAACATACCCCCAAATCGAATAATAAATTACCAATTTACAAAAAACATATATAATGTTTCTTATAAATCGATTGCAGAATATTTTATCCTACGCTTTTACTCAGAAAATACAGAACAGTAGCTGTAAAAAGTCAGAATACGAAATAGCAAAAATGTTGATTTATCAAATATTGTGAAATAAACGCATGATGCTAAAATTAATTTATATACTTGTTGCTTTATTCATTTCTTATTGTTTGTTGTAAAGAATTTACATTATTTTATTATGAGGGAAATAAATCTCGTCTAAGATTGTGAAATAGCTTTACCACAAATTTATTTTTTTTAGTTTAATATAAAGTTATCAGATTGATATTAAATTAAGAAGAAGGAGCTGCTTTGATCTAGTCATGTCCATCTTTAAGCTTCTGCCTCTCTGTCTGTCCATCTGTATAAACGCGGCGATCTGATATAAAACTAGTTTATTTTAGTTTTCGATATCTCTCGCCATTTTCAGAATATCAATAAATATCGATTTTATGGCCGGCTAGACATAGATCATTTTGTTAAGTATCCAGACTATTTGAAAATAGGAAAAACTCCTTGCTAAAGGGGTGCACACATATTCGGGAGCCATAGGTACGGGATATCTCCAAGTCGAGCTCGCTTCTTTGCTTTTTTAATTTTTGATTTATAATATAATTTTTCTTTGTTAATGTAATTTACAACATTTCATAAATGATATAAAACGATCTTTAAGATGTTTATCAAAATCGAAACAAATAAATCATCTCACTTATCAAAAAAAATTATATTTTACTTTTTATTTGTTGGTTTGATTTCTCTTTAATGCGTTGCGTACGGTAGATCAGGGACTACTTCTGGCTACTTGGCCAGCACGGTGGCTACTAAAGTCGTCGGCCAATTCGGAGTCTATCTTGACCAATGGCTGGCGGATTTATGACCCTGGGCCCAAAGCATTGATAACAAGTCCGAAAAACTATCTACTTCTGCACTGAGAAAAAATATTGCTCTTAATTCGTTGATGAACCGAAGGTGATTAGTTTTGTTTTAGAAAATGTGGCTTTCAGTTAAGTTAAGTTTAAATATATTATAGCTGAAGGAAGATATATATTCAGGCTCGATAACTTAAATACCAGCTATAATTTTTGGTAAGCATTGCTTTATTTATAATTGCCTGTACACAGATAACAATAATTATGACACGCTCAGGTACTTGGGGTGCAATGTACAAATCCGAAAGTAAGACTCGTGTTGGCCACCTCCGCTTCCGCCCCCGCCTCCGTCGCACACTTATTGCCATAAAAGTGCTCATATGATATTGCGTTGGGCCCCCACAATTCGGTCTCACTTTCGCTTGGGACGCGTCGCTGATAAGTGATAAGGTACTAAGTCCCATGGAAAACTTTTATATGCCAAAAATGATCGATAATAACTTCGTAATGCTTAAACGCTTAAAGTGTTT